TTATATAATATTATATATAATTAAATAAATATACTAATATTATATTAATTATATTATTATATTTATATTAAACTAATATAATTATATTTAATAGTACTATATATATATATATATAGGGGGGAATATTCTAATATATATATAATAAATAATTTATACAATATACTATAATATATATTATAACTACTGTATATATAAATATATATATAATTAAAGATACATAAATAAAGATATACATATATATATATATATATATATATGTACATATATTTTTAATTTTGTATTAATTAAAATAGAATATTTTTAGTGACGTATACCTAGAGTTTCCCCCCTCCCCTCCCCTCTCCACCCATATTATTTGTATGTCAAGGGGTTAACTAAACACCGAGTTAACGGTGTGCTAATATTCGGTGAAAAAGAAAGGTTACCTATAGACACCAGGTGACATTTCAAAAAAATCGATCGTTCTTAATTTGACTACTGTACTTTATAACGTGTTTGTAAAACTATGTGTGAAAAAAAAAAAAAGAAGAAATCAAAAATATATATGTGAATATGTATGTGTAAATAAACGTACCGTCTTTTAAAGGACCAAATCTCCAGAGACTCATTTTCCAAAGTTGATTTGAAATAAGTTTGAAATTAACACCGCCACAATTCTCTCAGCTCATCACCAAATTCATTTGAAGGTTTTTCTTTTTTTTTTTATTTGTCAAATGTCTTTTAGTAAAAAGAGACAAACATTAACACGAATAATCGAGTTGAAAATTCACAAACACACACAAATGATTAAAATCATACACTCGAATCAAAATGATTTTTCCTCAACGAACCCTTCCAAATGATAATCCAACCAATTAAAAATATTCACGTGTCGTATTTTCCTCGTCGTTTAGTTTTTATTGTTTTTGTTTTTGTTTTGTCTTTTTTTTTTCATTCAATTAACTTGTATTTAAATTCGAGAGAGAAAATACAAAACTGCAATGTTTTTTTCTTTTTTTTGATGCACTTTCGATTGAAATTCGACTTATGTTATAGTTCACTTTAAAAAAGAACTTAATTGTCTTCTATTAAATAATCCTTAATATTATTTTATTTCACTCAGACGTTTCTTCAATTGTACACCGATGTTCACAATGTTTCACTAATTTCATGTGTCTTCATCTTTCAAATGAATGAAAAAATTGATAATAATTCATTTCACGTATCTTTGATTAACTTTCAGTAAAATGGGGTGGTAATGATCTTACTTCTGTCAAGAACAACTTTCAAATAAAATCATAACATAACATTTGTCTCCTTAAATATCCATCTCAATGATGACGATGATGATGATGATGATAATAATAATAAAACACTGTTCAGTGTCCAAAGTTCATGATTCAAAGTAAATCATATCGTTTATGAAAAACACACTTTTTTCTAACCTTTGGAATCAGAAGAAAAAGAAGAAGAAGAAGAAGTAAAAAAGAAAGAAAGAAAAGTTCAGTGAGTTGACTTTTTTTATTATGTTAATAATTTAACATGAGTCAAGCACATGACACATAACTATGAGTGCCACGTGTTAATACAAAAATAATTTAACATAAGTATTAATAATAAGTATTAATATTAATTTTTTTTTTAAATTATTTCATTAACTTCTACAAAAAGATGAGCCGTTTATTTTCAAAGTGTCTCAATCACATTTTCCAAAATAAATCGAGTTAGTTACATTTTTACATTGATCTTTTCATTTTGAAACAATTTCTATACCAATATATTCAAAATCACGACAATTTTGTAAAATGAAAACTTGCTGATTAAATGAACCAATGACAAAGTTTCTGTTGAAAGTTGCCTAACTTCAATTGTCTCATAATTACTTCGTAATGATAAAGATTTTGGGCATGATAGAAATGTCATGAAACCAAAATTATTTAATCGTTTGTTCCTTCAAAGATTATTATAATATTATCAGAAAGTGTTGGAAAGGTAATAAATGAACTTGATTGTATAAGTGAAATGAAACAAGAAGATTTTTGTATGAACAAAATTATTAGAAAAGGTAATTTTTCAAAAAGAGGGGTTACACAATTCTAACGGATAATCGATAAACTGATTTAAAAATATGTTTCAATGTGTTTTTGTCAGAAATGAAAGTCGTATGAAATTTTCTATAAGACATCGAATGAATGAGAATGAACATTTTGAAAATCATGTTGAATTTATTTTAGCACGTTTGGGTAGATCAAAAAAAAAAAACAAAACAAAAAAGTTCGACAATATTATATTGATATCAGTGTAGGAAAATATCGGACAAATTGCAACAGCAAAATTCAAGAACACAATGGACCCTACTACCGACACGTACAACCGGAATTATCATAAATTTCTTTAAAATCCCTTTCACCACACGCTAAATGTAAATGAACAGTAAATTGTTTTGTAATTGATGTAATTAACAAAATCATTTCAATCACATAAATTATGTTTCTTAAATGTTTTCAAGATATGTCGAATAAACTGAGCATTGCTTTTTTTTTTCTTTTTTTTTTTTCAATTTGAGAAGCATCTTAAATTATGTTTCATGAACTTGGGCTCCTTCCAATTTTTATAATGAATCTGATTATTAATTTTGAAAGTATCTTAACTCCATTCTTGTTAAAAAAAAAACGCATATTAATTGCCACTATTTTAATAGGAACTGTAAATTGAACACCTTTATATACAGTATGACTCATTAAGTATCATGTACGAATATTTTTCATTACATTGAAACGCAAACCCATCATCAATACCTCAATTCGAACATCAATGGAGTTAATCCATTTTCAAAATAAACGGCTCAAATATTCATTCATATCAATGAATAATTATTATTAAAAAACACTATATTGAAGAAGTCTTTTATTTCACTGAAAAATTAATTATCCAAAACAAAAAAAACTCAAAAACTCCACATTGATAAACCCCGATGAAACTCTTATCTTGGACAAGTGGACAAATCAGAGAGAAAGTAAAGGGGGTGAGAAGAAAAAACAACATGGAACAAAATAGAAAGAGGAAGAGAAAGAGAGAGAAAGAGAGAAAGAGAAAAAGAGAGAGAGAGAGAACTGCCTTCGTGAACGGCGTTCTCCGTTATACTGAAGTCGACCTACTCATAGTGTTTACATCGAAGATAACTGTGTCGACGTTAACACGCCTTGGTTGGCTTCCCGTCGATCCAACTATACCCAAGCTAGGTATATCAAGCTAGAAGCTATACCAACACGTTGTTAATACGGTTCGCCAGCAGTACTTAAGCCCGGTGAACTGTCCCCTTGATGACGACGACGACGACTACGACTACGACGACGACTACGACGATGATGATGATGATGATGATGAGAATGGCACCATCTCTGTGACCAACCAACCAAAGGATGATTGGATTGTGTATGCTGTACAATCTCTATGGACAAATGTGTTCCCTTCTTAACCACCACCATCACCACCACCACCACATTACCTAGAGAATCCCTTTATTATCACTTTGCGGTGACATAATCTCGATCCGAAAATAGATTATACTAGAGATTGATTTTTTTTTTTTTCTACTTCTTATTCTTCTTTTATATTTTATTTTTTATTAATGTAAGAAATGAATCTCATATTTTTGTTAAATACATGAAAATATTCAATTGGTAGAATAGTTTTTCGTGAAATGTGTTGTTTAATATGTTACGTGCTCTGTGTACCACCGGTGGGATACACTTATTTTTAGACATATCTATTTAATAAGCTAAATATATTGTAATATATTTAATAATTAATTTATTTATATTTAATTTTTTAAATTATTATTATTATTATTATTATATGTGTTCATAATTATGAAAGTGATCTAAGTCATATATCAATTGTATCGAGATATTTCAAGATTTATACTTGAACATTATATGAATTCTCTTTATACATTATTGAAATAACAAACATTATCTAACGATTGATTTTTGATAATATCGTGAAAATTATATTGAATTTATTTAGTTTATAATAATGTAATGTGTAATAATTGATAAACTCATTTTTTTTAAATTAATTTTGACTTAGATCAATTTCATAATTATAGGCACATATATTATAATATATATCATAACGATTATAAATTGAGATATTAACTATCGTATCTTTCAAGTTGAATGAAATTGCACAGAGTGTGCAAAATTTGATTAAAATCGGTTCTGTAGTTTAGGAGTCCATTGCGGACAAACAATGTAACATGTAATTTATATGTATTAAGATATCCTATCTTTTAAGTTGGATGAAACTGCACAGAGTGTGTAAAATTTGATTAAAATCGGTTCAGTTGTTTAGGAGTCCATTGCGGACAAACAACATGACACGTTATATATATATATATATATTAAGATAATTTTTTATTAGAAGAATAAACGATATTTTTTATATGTTTATTTATAATAAATTTCATTCTATAATCAACAAACAAATTTCTATTAAAATATATATATTGAGATTGACAAATTATTTTTATCATTTTTATTTTCCAATGGACATACATAAATTTGTTTATTATTATATTTACAATAATTAATAATTCACACGTGTAATGATTTTAATTAGATTAAAACAATAAGATCAAATGATCTGAACGACAAGTTCAAGTCAGACAACAACAAAAAGCTTTTAACAAGAAACGTGTTAAGTAAACGGAAGTAGTAAGGTTTATAAAAAAAAACAAAATTAAAAAAAAAAAATAAAAATTAGAAAGATAAAAGAATAAGAGAGAGAGAGTAACGTTTTGAAAAAAGGAAAGATACACACACACACACACACTATCGAGAGTTTGTAAACCACTTGTAAGTGTTTATCGATGGGTAGGTAACCTAATAACGATAATCGATTAATCCAACCATTGACACTCTCTCTCTCTCTCTCTCTCTCTCTCTCTCACTCTCTCAAACACACTCTTTTCTATGCGTAGGGATTATATATAAGCGACACGGCTTCTCTTCGTGCATAAAAAAGAACAAGAAACAAAGCGGGAGATAAAAAAGAGACAAGAAAAAAATAGGAACCCAATGGGGTATTGGATTTTCATCGAAAGCCAATAGAAAATAGGTATTTAGCGCGAATCAATTGAGAACGTTATTGAATATCGTTTTTTTCTTTTTTTTTTTTTCTTTTTTTTTTTTTTTCAAGTGATTACATAGTCATTACATACCGATTACATACGCATATTTTTGTTACTTCATTCTTTTTTCTATTTCAAATTAAATACATATCTCTTAATCGATAGAATTCAGAATGGACACTTTGGTCATCCAGAATAAAATTTTGGAACGGGTCGAAAGAACGAGGAACTTCGTTGTCAGTCACATGCGTCTGACACGGCCTGGCGGGGAAGTTTGATGTCAGTCATATGTGTCTGACGTGGCCCGACGAGAATTCGTTGTCAGTCACATGCGTCTGACACGGCCTGGTGGGAAATTTGATGTCAGTCATATGTGTCTGACGTGGCCCGACGAGAATTCGTTGTCAGTCACATGCGTCTGACACGGCCTGGTGGGGAACTTCGTTGTCAGTCATATGTGTCTGACGTGGCCCGACGAGAATTCATTGTCAGTCACATGCGTCTGACACGGCCTGTCGGGGAACTTCGTTGTCAGTCATATGCGTCTGACACGGCCTGTCGGGGAACTTCGTTGTCAGTCACATGTGTCTGACGTGGCCCGAATGGAAGTTCTGTGTCAGTCACAAGTGTCTGACGTGGCCTGACGAGGAACTTCGTTGTCAGTCACATGTGTCTGACGTGGCCCGAATGGAAGTTTGGTGTCAGTCACAGGTATCTGACGTGGCCTGAATGTGGAGTTCGGTGTCAGTCACTAATGACTGACAAGATACTCAACGTATTAGACATTCAACATGATGTTAGGGTTCCTAATGCCAATTAATTGCTATCCATGGTCTTAATAACATGAATTTTTCTCCTATTTCTTTTCTTTCTATCATTTTATAATGAATATCAAATAAATTAAGAGAGTAACATATTAATAAAAGAGAATGTAAGTTTAATTTACATTGCCATTCAACGTAAGCAAGTAACCTTTCATATATTACTTAACATTTCACATACACACATGTTAATAACACTTGAATCAAATAGTTTATTATGATCTACCTGTTTTTTTTTTTTTTTTTTTTTTA